AAGCCCAGGGAGGGCTCCTGATCCCCCGTTAAGCCCATGGAGGGCTCCTGATCCCCCGTTACGCCCAGGGAGGGCTCCTGGCCCCAAGTACAGCCCCATAATATCCCCAAGTATTTTTTTTGGGGGGTGGGGGGGGTAGTAGGGCTCCAGCCGTAGTGGCCGAGGCTGGGGCAGCGGCCTCGGAGGCTGCTCCGCCATGGCCTCCCGAATCCCCTGCTCCGCCATGGCCCCCCGAGTCCCCTGCTCCGCCATGGCCCCCCGAGTCCCCTGCTCTGCCATGGCCTCCCGAGTCCCCTTTTTATTCACGCATCTACATTGTTTATCATGCAGGTGGGGTGTATATGTTATGATGTTATAAAGGTGAAGTTGTTTTTCATTGAATCTTCTAGGCAGTTTCATGAGGCGAAGGAAAACTTCAATAACATAGCCCGACAGTTCAAGGGTCTGGAGGCATTCATCCGCCAGTTAACTGAGATCATGAACATCAGACACAACGTCTACGCTGAACTGAGAATGTAAGTTTCATTAGAGGCTCTTGTCTGATTCTCGCTGACTGATTTGAAATGTTTTCTAATAGATTGTTTTAATATGTCTGGACTTCAGACCACCAATTCAATGGTCACAAATGAAATAGCCTTTGTTTGTCTGCTTTTGATATTTTAATGTCTCTCAGAGGTAAATTACTGTACGAGTTTTACTGAATAATTTTTCTGTGTTGAAAAATTTCCTATTAAGGACAACGCAGGTGAATAGGGATTTTAGAATAAAAAAAAAAGTTTTTTGAAATGGTATGTTTAAAAATGCAAATAAGCCATTATTTAGTTAAATAAACAAGAATTTGCATACATTTCCAGAACAGGAATCTGAAAATTGTATAAAGCCAGGTTCAAAATTCTTGTTTCATTTTGTTGACAGTTAAAGGTTTTTACATCAGGGATTTTGGGTATCGTTTTATCGCTCCATAAATCAGAAAATACTGTACTTTACATCAGTCAGAAAAAAAATCAGATGCACATAGATAAAGTGCAGTAAAATAAGTTTTCTTTCCACTAGTCGGAAACAACATGTTACGAAAAGCCCAAAATCTCAAAATTGACCAGTGCATTAAAACAAACAGTGGTTTTGCCTGTAGTGTCTTGCCTTAAAACAACAAGTTACAGTGGGACATATCAAAGGGCTTAGTGCAGATTTTAGGGTACTGATAATAATGATGTAGGTTGTGTTTCTGTGTGTTTCCAGGTATCTTTCTGTACGCTGCAAGTACTACTTTGACTCCATGCTGTCTCAGAGAGGATACATAGGGAAGATGACCTTTGACCATAAGAATGAGACTCTCTCCATATCAGTAAGACTTTGCAAGATGATAACATCTTTGATGTAGTTGTTTTCTTGATGAACAAACACCGGATGCATACATAGAGGCATGCAGTCTTGTATAATTTAATTTTGTTGAATAGCCTATGCTCTCAAAAATGTCCTTGGGGTCAGGATTTTACTCTACATGCAGTAACCGTGACTTTTTAAAAGTACAGTAGTTTCTCATGATGACGGTCATCTGTCTCTTCCTCAGGTTCAGCCAGGAGAGGGTGGTAAGGCCGCTCTGAGTGACATGCGTTCACTGTCTGGAGGAGAGCGTTCGTTTTCTACCGTGTGCTTCGTTTTGTCACTGTGGGCCATATCTGATGCTCCGTTCCGTGCTTTAGATGAGTTCGATGTGTATATGGTAAGGAGTATATTCAAAGAATCCTGTAAAAAAAAAAAAATGCATCATGGTTTTCACAAAAATATTAGACTGCACAACTGCTTTCATCTTTGATAATAATAAATGTTTCTTGAGCAGCAAATCAGCACATTAGAATGATTTCTGAAGGATCATGTGACACTAAAGACTGAAGTAATGATGCTGAATATTCAGCTTTGAATCACAGAAATAAATTACATTTTGAAATATATTCAAATAAAAAACATTTACTGTAAATTGTAATAATATTTTACAATATTGCTGTTTTACTGTATTTATGATTAAATTAATTCAGCCTTGGTAAGAATAAGAGACTTGTTGAAAAAAATGTTTAAATCTTACCAATCCCATTCTTTTGAACAGTAACAGTAGTTTTGAACAGTCTCTCAGGGATTTTATTAATATTTACTAATTACATTTAATCAGGATTTTGTCTTCAATGTATATTTTGGGTGCTGTAACTGGTAACCATTTTTTCCACAGTTTAGCTTTTTGTAGTTCATTTAAACGGTCAAACAATGTTAACAAATGAATTTTTACAAATACAAAAATGTAATGTTGTCTCTGTTTAATATGTGGCCATAAAGTATGCATACATAATAATTACGCAAATACAAAAAAAAAGTTGTTGGGTTTTTTTTGTCACTTCTGTCACTCCTTGATGTATCATATCAAGTAGCCAGTAACATGTTTTGCGAATACAATAAGATATTTGTCATGGCTACTAAGGAGAATCAGGTGACTGGAGTCCTGGAGAAGAGCATGCAGTCACTGTATTGTGTGTTTGCTCTCTCAGGACATGGTGAACCGGAGGATCTCCATGGACATGATGCTAAAGATCGCTGCCAGTCAGCGCTACAGACAGTTTATTTTCCTCACACCACAGAGCATGAGGTAAAGAGCTTCTCTAGTGTTCATGCAGAAATGTGTAGATGTAGTTAGATTAGAAGACATGATTGCCTTATTTTTATCATTTATAACACCGTTTTAAATTGATAGTCCTAGTAAAAATGTAATGTTCTGTTCTTTCTGTATCTCAGTTCTCTGCCAGTCAATAGCCTGATCTGCATCCACCGTCTGAATGACCCTGACCGCAGCGAGTCAACCCAGAATGATGCTGCTATCCTTTGAACATCTTATGTGCATCAGGCAAATCAAGACAAATCAGGCAAAGTACTTACAGCTGACAGCTGCACTTTACAGTTCTATGCGCACAAGTTTACAGGCTTTTTTTCTAAGATCATTTAAATTTACATTTATAAATAATTGTGTTATTTAAAACCAAAATTTGCAGGTTCTGTTTTGTTCTGCACTTTACATTTTTCTAAAATAATAGTTTTTAGTTTTTATAAAAATATGTGATTGCAATGTTATTTGCATTTGTACCTGATGAATAAGGCATATAAAGGCCAGTTATAGCTTGTTGCTGTTATTTGTTTTTATTTCATTTTCAGTCTTCCATTGTTTTATTTTTATCACTGAACTACTTAAAAAATGTAAATGTTTGTAGTATAACAAGAAATAATCTCACTATTTTGTTTGATCATCAAAAATGCATAGTTTTGTATTACTGGTGTTACAGTATGGAAAAATGAAAAGTCAGTTGAAGGAAATCACATGAGAGATATGAGAGAGAATCATATTACCCTTTTTTTTTTTTGTGTATTTACAGAAAGTTATGAATCTTTAAACATTGACCGGACATTCATCCGGCTTCTGAATGGGCAGAATGCAAATAATGCTGTAAATTGTGGTTTCCCAGTAAAGCTTATGACATACAGTCACAATGGCACTGATTCAGTTCTGTGATCATCTTTAAAACTGTACTTCAGTAGTGACTACATGATGGCGTCCATTTGTCTCTGAGTCTCTTACTTGACTCACAGTTCCTCTTTGCTGAGTCAACTTGTCATTGCTAGTTACATCCTGTCATTTTTTGAGGCAGTTCCTCTTGACATACATTTGTGGTTTTTATGATTGATTGTGTGCAAACTGGGGACTGAACATTATGTTGCCATTATGTTGCCTGTTCATTGCTCATTCATTGTTCATCGTTTCCTATTAGATTTTAGTCAGAATATATTCAAACATATAGACTGAACCATCATTTACAGAGTTTTGAAATTGACCTTTGTGAGTTTTTGTCTGTGTATATTAACTTAAATCTTAAGTCAGAAATACTGTACATTTTAAATGTATTTTTCTGCTTAAAGATAGCTCTGGCAACTTATAGCAGAAACATGCATTAAAATTTATAGCATTTCTTTGGCAAATGGTCCAAAAAAAATTATGACTTATCATGAACTACAGAGATTGTTGTCCAATCAAATTCCCCAATACCATCTGAATTATAAATATGTAAATATGATTAAATTGTATAGGTAACAGCTGTAATTTTTCAGATTGAGTATATTTTTAAGGATATACATGGATGTTTATTCATGTGGCAAAAAAAAAACCTGAAAAACTATTAAAATTTTAAAAAGGTATAATTTATAATTAACAAAACTAAGTCTTGCATTTATATAAATGAAATTAATATTACATAAAAAAAAAAATTTAATCACAGCATGGTTAAGAAAGCAAGACAGAATTAAATCATTATTTTGCATTTGCTGCTAGCTATTTTGTATAAATATGTAAAGAGCTACAAAATAGCTGCAACAAATTATCAGCTTGTAAAAAAAATTACAGCACATTCCAGCATTGATTGGTCTGGCCATGAAACAGGTAGCGTAATAATTAGTGGCTGTACAGTTACTGTTAGTAGATGGCTCTAATTTCAGGTCTCAAGTACTTTAGGTAATATAGGTGGCTTTCGTTTCACCCCTACAAAATGAAGTACTGGTCTAAAATTGTTCATCCAGAAGTCAGTGCGATTCCTGGCCGTCAGTCCTTGGTGGCATCAGCATAGAGCAGGAATCCAGAGAACGTGCTGTCGTCCTCGCTGCTGGAATAAACACCGTTCCAGTCCCGCAGAGTCTCCAGCCAGACCTGGTCTCCAGATGATAGACGCAGCACTGCCATGTTGGAGGCCTGGTCAATGTCCTGGCCGTAAAGGGAGTCGCGAGTTCGCAGTTTCCGAATGCCGTTCACCACCAGGGCTGCACGCAGGGGGCGATTACGCACTGTTATGTAGTAGGAAAAGACGTATACTCCCCCATGAGTGCAGTTAAACTTACTGGCGTGGGGGTCCCAGTAACCCTCCTCATTGTAAATTACTTTATCAAACTTGATCGGCAGGCCAGGTGGTGGGAACGATCGGCTGGGAAAGAGACCAATGCTGAAGGCTGAGCGCTTCTGAACAGCAGGTTCACCCTTAAGGCCCTTGAGTCCCCTAAAACCTCTACACAGTGTTCATTGCTCCCTACTCCCTGAGCCGGGGAAATCCATTAAAGGTTACTTCACTTCGGAACATTCATTCACGGATTTGCGCTGCGCATTGTCTTCACACACAGACGAAACTTACTAGAGAAGTGTGACGTGTGACATAATATACCTCTGTAAATAAATACAATATAAATAGGGATGCACCGAAATGAAAATTCTTGGCCGAAGCCGAAACCGAACAAAATTAAACACTGGACCGAAGGCCGAATACCGAACACGGTTTTTCGGGTTTTTTTCCCCGTGTATTTTGCCAATTTTTTTTTCCACCATTGCATAAATTTAAAAGCCAAAATGTGTTTTTTACTGTTTTGTCTTGCTTTTAAAAAAATTACAAATTACAAATTACAAAACAATTAAAAAATATTTAACACTGAACATTTTTAACATTCTAGCAGACACTACCAACAAACAACAAA